TGCCCCAAGACAGACTAGTCCCCGCCCGCCGGCTGCCTCTGGCCCATGCTGGTCCTCATCTCCTGAGCCCTCTCACCAGCTGCTCCGGGAGGTTTTAAACCCATTTCCCCAGGAGACAATTTGAACCTTCTTTACCTGTATGAGTAAGAAAAGGGGCAGGCGGGGGCCCTGCTGGCCCCGCAGGACATGCAATCCCCACTGTGCCCTGCTGCAGCTAACTGCCTGGGGGTAAAAAGGGGCAAAAGGACTGGCTTTAAACCCGTGTGGTAAAAGGGGAGATTTTCAAGAAAAAGATACAATAATGCAACAGCCTGTCCTTCACTAATCACCCAAGAGTTGTTTCTCAAGCCCCGCATGGCAGCAGCACCTGCTGCCCCATGGACAAGCATCGCTGCGCTCCCCAGGTGCTGGTTGGGGGCCTGGGGGGGGGCTTCCCCAGTGAGGCGGGGGAGGCCGGTACGTTAACCGGCACTTCTCAGCTCACAGGCACCAGTGAGTGCAATTACAGTGTGGGAGGTGAAGAATAGCTGGTGTTTTACAGCAAGTTCCAGAGAAAAATGCAATTGTGACAAGCTCTGTTTTCAGCCGTGATCAAGAAATACAAGCTCAAGAGCAGCATTGTCCAAGGAATAGTAGCCATTGCCGGGAGGGGGAGAGGGAAAAAAAATGCCATGCCTTTGTAAATTAAAAAGCTTTTTTGTCAAGGCTAAAACCAAGATTTCTGTTTAAGATACTGGGAAATCAGCCTTTAACCAGCACAGAGAACAAAGCTCCTTTAAGCACTGGCGAAACTGAGCCTACGGCCTTGCATGGAGCCTGAAAGGGGCCTGTGTTTCTCAATTATGGCTCGAGTTCTCAGTTGCCTGCAGTGCCCAGGGCCCGGGGAGCTGCCCCAGCTCACTGCCCGCCCGCCTGCCGCTGCACTACACGGCCCAGGGAAGACACAGGAAAAGAGTATGGCCCAGGGAAGACACAGGAAAAGGGTATTTTGCCCCTCTCGTGGCTCTTGACATGCAACAGCACATTGCTGCCAAAGGTCTGTGCCAGACGTGTTTTCTCAGGATATGTATGAACACCCTTCTGGTGCACGGTTACAAACCGAAACCTCCCTCCGTTGACATTACCAGCCCCACGACAACTAAACCCTCCATCACACCCTGTTTACAGCCCCAAAGGGTCTCTAGCTTCAAACATGCTGCATGAAAATCTGATGTGAGCAGCCCCAGTCACGTATTGTCACTGGGGAGAGGAGCTCTGGCAGGTGTAACCACATTGACGGGGCAGCACCGTTACGTAGGAGTGGGAGCAAGCAGTTAACCAGCTACAGCCACTTGTGCTAACACCCCTCTAAAAAAGAGCTGCAAAGAAGGAGGTGAGCTATTAGCAGCCACATCTCCAGCGTCACCACAGGGAGCCTTTGTGGCAGGAAGGAGCAATGCCAGCCTGGAGACCCAGGAGCCCTCGGGCACCCTTGGGAGCAACACCATTTCAGATTTGGGGCTGTGGGATCACAGGTCTAGCAGGCAGTTAATGTCGGGAGCATGCGAGAAGCACGGGGAGTGAAGCTGTCACGCACCTGCAGAGCACACCCAAAGCACAGTTGCACTCTTGCAGAAGCCTGGAGGAAGCTGTTACGTGCTTCTTGCAACCAGCACGACAGAGCTCAGCGCTTCTGTTAGAACACTGAGTAAACGGGGGATTTTTTTTTTTCTTGTATAAATAGCAACAGCAGAGTTAATTCATGCTAAGGTGCACTGAGCTGATCCGCTTTCGTTCCTCATTGACATGCCTGGCTGATGCTGGCAGAAATCAGCAAACTGTTTCAGAACAGCAGGAAAACCCCATAGCCAGCAATGTGGTGGCAGGTACCTTTGGGAAGCCCTGGAGCACACTTATTTGCACTAGCGAAACTCCTGTACAGCCACTGTTTCATTTCCATTGAGAGAAATTTATTTTCCCACATACTGAATCACTCTCACTGTTTTCTCTCTCCTATGGTTACCTTTTCCTTGTTCTGGATCAGTTAAAACCAGGCATATTTGGCAACTGCAGCCCACCTCCTACTTTTCAGGGAAGTCAGAGGGGGTCTGCAGGGGCTGAAGAGGCAGAGCTGAGAGCTAACGGCTTGTGGAGGACAGGGGCACGGATGCTACCATGACCCTGGGTACAAAAATGAGAGATGAGCCTATCACTGCTTTCCTCCCCAGCTCTGAAGGGTCCAACAAGCTAATCCCAGAAAACAAGTCCTAGGGTGACTTACAGACAAGTTGCAATTTTCCTTGTCAGGCACCACACTGTGTTTTGCTTGGCCCAGTTTAACCATTCACAGCAATGTTACTTTATGCAAAACCGCAGCAGAACCACACTGGGATAAGACAGCAAAAGGGCTGCTCCGCCTGGGCGAAGGGCACATCCTTGCAGCTGAGTGAGGGACCCAGCACAGCAGATGACAGGGCTTAGCTCGACGTGCTTCATGCCCACCCTTTTCATGTCCTCTTTGCCTGGCAACACCCCCACCTCCTTCAAACACTGCTGGGCTTTGCCTTTTCCACCAGTGCAGCCCCATAGCACGGGGCAGAGCGATGAGTTGGAAACTCCTGTGCAAGGGTCTGAAATTCAGAGCCCCAAAGTTGCTCAGCAGCCAGCACAAAGCTGGTCCTTGCAGCTCTGAGTGAAAGTAGTCATCAAAGATAAACCCCACGCGCCCCAGGCTATGAGGAACCGAGAGCTTAACACCAAAGGAGAGCAGAGTGAAGGGGACCTGTGCCACAGCTGTCTTTTCTGCGAGGGGGACGATGCCAGCCTCTGCAGGCTCAAGGAGGACATACCAAACTTCTCTGAGCTAGTCAGAGCTGCTGCGAGCCATAAGAAAAC